AGGTTCCCTTCTTGTGGTAAAGATCCACCCTGACGTCACAGCTGGGGACAGGGTGGAGAGATCCAGCCCTGAGCCCTGAGGGGAGCAGGGGCTGAGGGCAACCAGACTTCCACCTGCCGCCCCTTCTCAAGGTCCTCTGAGTCCCGGCCAAGGTCTGGAGGCTGGTGCAGGATATCTGTGTCCCTGGAGTGCTAACATGGAGAACGGAGAGCCTGCCAGAGAGGAACTGCTGGGATAACTTGGGGTTTCCTGCACTCTCTCTGCTGTAGACTCTCTCAGCAAACTCCTGGGGGGAAGCTCCCCTACCCTCTGTCTTCCAAACTCCACCAACCTGCCTCTTGGACTTCCTGTTACAGTCCCTCTCCAGGGGCTGCCTCCTGGAGGGACAGACACTGCAGGGGGCTCTTTCCAGGAGTGCTCAGTGGGGAGCCGGCCCCTCAGGCCTCAGAAGCCTGGACAGGGCGCGGGTGCTGGAGCGCATGAAGCCGTGTCTGTGAGCCGAGGACGTTGGCAGGTTTTCTCCACGAAGGGGCTGCCCTCACAGACAGCAACCCCTTGGCTCTCCAGGGTCACAGGCTGACCCGTAGCTGTCTCTCCCTGTTGAATTCAGAGTCCGGGAGCCTGGTTTCAATTGCGCCTGGACGTTATGTGTAAGGAAGGGTTCCAGTGCTGCATGCTGAGGAGCTGGCTTGCCTTTTTCAAAACTCTGACTCACTCCGATCGTATTTTTTTACTTCTTGGTTTTCAGTTGTACCTGAGAGTCGTGGTGGTTGCAGAAGAGAGGTGCTATCGCTTACGTGGTTGAGAGTTTCTCCAAAGCACTTTTACAAGTTAGATTATTATTTCCATATCACAGATAATGAAACTGAGGAAGAAGATGTACTTAAAGGTCAGTCGACAGGCGGATCTCTAGCTCCCAGCCCTGTATTTTCAGAGACAAACCCAGACATCATCCATTAGAGACTCCGCAAGCCCTTTTCTGAAGGAAGAAGAAAGAAGAGCACCCTCGTGACATTTATAAATTGCTAAGTGAACAGCCTTTTAGCTGAGAGCCCCCATTCTTCTGAGTTCCCACTGGAATTGTGCCAGAGGAGTTAGGCTGTGTACCTTGGAGCAGACTCGCTAGCTCAGGTCCAGTTTTGCCCCTCACGAGCTGGGCAGTCTCTGGCAAACGCCTTAAATTCTCCGTGTCTCAGACTCCCGGCTGTGAAATATGAATACTAATATGCCACAGACCTCATAGCGTGAGGTAACAGAAGAGCACGCTTAAGCGCAGCACCTGTTGTGTAGGTTGTATTATTCTGATGTAGGTAGGTGATTGTGCTCCTCAGTAAAGGAAGGAACCAGCCTACAGCAAGCACGATTACACGGGAGGATGCGAGAAGGAAAGCCAGATAAAGGAGTGAGTGCTTTAGATGCCGTGTAGTGAGAATGAGAGACTGGTTGATCACATTGAGGCTTCTCGGGAGGCAGGTTCCTGAGCTGATGCCTGTCAGGGGCACAGTGTGGGTGCTGCACAGAGAGGCTGAGGTGCCAGGAAGTGGCAGTTGTCACTCTAGGGCTGAATGACTCCGTGACTCATACATGTTAAGCTCCATACAACAGTACTCAATAACGATAGCTGTTATTTACATAGAGCTCAAGTCTTTACCTTCCCCATAAGCTAAGTCCCGTCCCGTATTCTAGATACATATAAATTATGTGCACCCAGGGCAAGCTGGGAGGGAGGGAGAGTTGCCCAGAGGCAGAGAAAAAACATTCTTAGATGACAAATGGTCATTAGCCGGGTCTGTAAAACTGTCCGTGGCCAGAAAGCCACGGAAATTGATGACCATGCCACTCTTCAGTCCCATAAAGGGGGGAGCCATTTTTTTTTCCCAAACCAATTGATTACATTTATTTACATATCACAAAGAAAGGTAGAGAACTTGAGCATTCAGTGTGGACTATGTTCTTGGTGACTTACATACATTATCTTTTTAAATTCTTACAACCATATAAAGTAGGTATTTTTTCAGAAGAAACAGAAATGTGGAGATGAAGAAACTTAACCAAGGGCACACAACTAATGAGTGACAGAAGTAGATCACAAGATCTGACTCCAAAAACCATGTCCTTTTCATCTCAACACACTGCTTCTGGTAAATTCAATAAGCCGTCAGCTTAAAGACCAGCGAAAGGAGATGGAAAACTATAGCAGCTAACACTGTTGGGAGCTAGAGAGATGCAATCTGCAACAAATTATGGAAATTAAATATATATATATATATATATATATATAATGTGTATTATTATGTGTATGTATATTACTTGTATATGAAACAGGACAAAATTCCTGAACCATTTCTGGTAGAGGATGTGCCTTAACTTGTTTCAGAATGAATTGCTCCCAAGACATTCTGAATCCAAAGTGCGGAGTCCTTTTAAAATGAGTTGATACAGACAAGGCTTTTTGGTTGCTGGGGAAAGGCCTCAGGAATTGGAGCTGCTGGGTCAGTTCCAGGGTGTGTTTGCTCTGAGTTCTAGGATTCCGGTAGCCTAAGAATGGCCTACTATACAAATAAGCAGATTTTCTTGGGGTGGGGGTGGGGTCATTATTCTAGAAGGACAAGGATTGTTGCCCGAGGGTTGAGTGAGCTTGTGTGCAGCTCGGGGAACAACTGTGTCCTCCGCAGGCCCCACGCCTATGTCCACCGCACCCCAGGCTCCCCAGGAGCAGCCCTCTTTCCTGTGTTCCAGACTCCCAGGAACCGTTCTCAGCGTGTGCAGCCATGCGCTCATCTGCCTGACCCTGAGAGAGCGCCACCCTGTGGCGGCTCGCTGGGGGTCTGTTGAGATGTATTCCTAGCATGTATCTCTCAGCAAAGATGGGCAATGGCAGACCGCCAGGCTGATCAAGAATTCTGTCTTGTGCTGGGCATATTCTAGGTCGGGTGAATAGGGTTAGTTGGTGGACTTAAGTAAACAGAGAAAGACAAATATGAGAACCCGCAAAAGCACCAAATGGAAAAGAGCAGGGCCAGGGCAGGTCGCGGTGAATTCCCCTGTGGCCAGAGCCCAGGCTCGAGAAAGATCCAGGTGGGCCCGGGCCCTAGGCTGTAACTCTGAGCAGAATCTGTAGAGGGAAATCAAGGTAATGAGGCCGCCCGCGAGTGAGACATTTTGTGAGGGGACTGAGTAAGGTGAGGGTGTCCCCCTGCCTGCAGCCTGTTGGGACAGGACTGGAATCGGGTCTCCAGGCCTGACCCCCGGAAGCAAAACAGAAATGGAACCCTTGCCTCGCCTAACAGGCTCGTTTGAGAAGCCAGTGAAATGATGAAAATGAAGGAGCTTTGAAAAAGAAAATGTTTAAGACAATAAGGTGTTGAGGCAGCGGAGCCTGCAATAGCCCTGTTTTTAATAGGGTGTCATTTCTCGCGTGACCACATCCATTCCCCACGAAATCCTGCTTTTGGTGGAGAGGAAAGGGGAGGAGGGGGCCGAGCCGGCAGGGCAGGACTGCAGACGCTGCAGGGCTTCCCGGCCCCCGGAGGCCCTGAGAACAGTCTGGGTGGTACCGGAAGTGCAGCAGCCTGGCCTACCACCCCGTCTGTGTCAGGGACCCGACAGATCTGCCCACAAACCACGGGCAGCACCCCAGAGGGCCCCCCCAAGGCACCCCGCCGGCGGGTGGGCTCAGGCTTCCCCCCCAGAGGTGGATCGCCCGGCGCCCCACCCTTTCAGAGAATGGGAGGGGTTTCCAGGTGACTCATATGAATACAATGCAAAAAATAAAATAGGGACAATTACATTATTCTAAGCAAGTCAAGGACCAGCCTCACATTGTGTTCTAACTTATCTCCGGATCAGAAAAGGAAGTAAGAAAGGGCTTGGCTTTATTTCTCTCAGAACAAGAACATTTCTGTCCTTTGCTTTCTCCGTGAGAACACCGGTTCCTAGGAAGTCGTAGTAACTTGAGTAGTAAGGGAAACGAGCGCCCACGTTGAGGCTGCCATTATCGCGGGGAGGCGGGGCAGGGTAGGCTAATGGTGATGGGATGGCTTTAGAGGCGGATGGGTATTTTTATCCCAGCTCTATGACCTTGGGCAAATCGCTTAACCTTTGGGGGCCTAGTTTCTCTAGAAAATGGATATAATAACGGTACCTTGCCTCACGAAGATCAAATTAATAAATCTGCGCCAGTTGCTGTGCCCAGAAAACAAGCCCTTCATAAATGTAGCTAATATTGTATTCGTACGAGTATTTGGTGTGTGTTACCTTGTCGCCTCCTCTCCTTGGCTGTTTTCTTGGAACATTGCAACCTCCCGTGTGCCCAGCGTACCTGGTGATGCCCTCTAAAGTGTGTGATTCTCACAAAACTTTTCGGCCTTATTGCTGTGTCCTCTCCCCCCCCCCCGTCCCCCCGCCCCCCAAATTAGAGCCTCTCTCTTCTGTCCCATGGTGTCCCTGCTTCCCCATCTGGGCAGACCATCAGCCCTTTGTCCTCCCGGTCTCTCCTATGATGGTGACAGCCATTAATTCCTGAGTGCCATGAGAGCCCAAGGGGCTCCTAAGGAGGTGTGGGTTTGTGTCCTGGCTCTGGCACTGATCCTGACCGCCCCTGGGCTCAACGGCATCACTTTTACGCAAATGATAGTAACAGCCACTTGACAGGGGCGGTAGAGATCTGGAAGGTAAAGTGCCTGGCATGGGGGTGGCGTGTGGAGGTGATTAAGAGCATGCGCTGTGGGACTCGGACAGCCGAGGTTTCCAATCCTTGTGGCTCAAGTGGTGGTGAGGAGGTCCCTTCACCTCCGTAAGTACCAGCTTTCTCTGTTCCCTGGGGATAACCGTAGCCCCTGCTTCTCAGGATCCCTGCGCAGGGCCCGTCAGGTGCATGCAACAGGTGTTACCCATTACATTATCTGCAGCGGACGTGACACCCGGCCGAGGCGGCCCCCTGGAGCGGCCGGGGAGCCCGCCGGCTGAGGGTCAGCGACTCCTCTGACTCTTCCCCGCAGGGCTGTATGTGCTGGTTGGAGCAGGGGCCCTGATGATGGCTGTGGGCTTCTTCGGGTGCTGCGGAGCCATGCGGGAGTCGCAGTGTGTGCTCGGATCTGTAAGTGGGGCGTCGGGGGAGGGAACTGGTCTGAAGCGGGCCCCCAGATCTGGCCTCCAGCGCCAGCTCCTGGGGCCCGCTGAGACCTTGGCACTCACTCCCTCCTCCCTGAGTCTCCGTTTCTCCATCTCTTGCTTAAGAATAATATTATCTTTGTCCCTGCCTCATATGGAAAGTATGAAAAATATGAGGTCATTAGCGTGAAGATGTTTGGGGAGGAAAAGTGCCTAATAATTGTAAGGGATAATTATGATTGCTCTTTCAAAATTATTTCACAGTGAGGGAGGCAGCTAAGGTTCCTATAGTCAGGGAAGTGCTGTTAACTATAAGAAAAGAATTGCTGTTTGAGATCAGTAACTTCACCAAACATCCCTCTTGTAGTTTATTTTATTAAGCAGCCTCTGTCCTGAAAGAAAGAGAGAGAGAGAAAGAGAGAGAGAGAGAGAGAAAGAAAGAAAGAGGAAAGGAAAAGAAAAGAAAAAAAGAATGAATTTTAGTTACTACTATACATCCAATACCAGAGTGACCTGAGGGAGATAAGGAGAAGGAAGAGGGGCTGGAAGAGAGAATGATTTTGTCTGTCTCCACAAGGGGTCTAGAAACAGCAATTTTAGGGGGGCAGTCTCTCCTTACTTGTTGCAATCTTTAACTTTTAACTGTGGCTGATGCTTCTGATCTCTTGCTGAGTAAGATATCTAATTCATCTCCTCAGTCCTCCATTCTTCCTGTCTTTCCCCTGTTGCTGAGCATCCCTGTCATTTATCACTGAACACAGAGCAGACCCAAGAGACCAGAAGAGAAATCTGTCCCGGAGGACAGCCCTCACTGCCACTCCCACTCCCCAGAGAAGCCTCACAGCCCACACAGTCTGGGCCCCTTCTTCCCCAAGCCCAGGCCCCACCAGTTGCTCCCTATGTCCTGGCCTTGTTTTATATCTTTATGGAATCTCTTTGGTTCATCAAGAATTCATTGAGCACCTAGGTGCCAGGCACTGTTTTAAGTGGTGGGATTTCTTTATCACTACCTGAAATTATCTAACTCACTTTTTTATTGCTTTACTCATTTATCATACTTCCCATTTTCTTTTTTTTTTTTTACTATTATGTTCAGTTAGCCAACATATAGTACATCATTAGTTTTTGATGTAGTGTTCAACGGTTCATTAGTTGCGTGTAACACCCAGTGCTCATCACAACACGTGCCCTCCTGAATACCCATCACCTGGCTACCCCATGCCCCCCACCCCCCTCTGAAACCCTCAGTTTGTTTCCCGGAGTCTAGAGTCTCTCATGGTTTGTCTCCCTCTGATTTCATCCCCTTCAGTTTTCCCTCCCTTCCCCTGGGGTCCTCCGCGCTATTCCTTATGTTCCACATATGAGTGAAACCATATGATAATTGTCTTTCTCTGCTTGACTTATTTCACTTAGCATAATCCCCTCCATGTCGATGCAAATGGTACATATTCTTCCCATTTTTCTAATAGGAGGTCCGTGATAGCAGAGATGTGGGGATCATATCTTATTCACCGCTGTATACCCAGGGCCAAGGACAGTGCCTGGTGCAGAGTAGATGCTTAATGATAATTGCTGAATGAATTAATGAGCAAGTGAATGAATGAACAAACTACAGGGGAATGGAGGTAGATGCTTCTACCAGATCAATTCAAACTAATAAGCTCGCCTAATGTTGTTTTTTTTCCAAATGAAACTAGCATTAAAAAGGCCAAATAAATTGAAAAGGTATTGAGTTAATGAAGTGAGTATATTCTCTTCTCTACAGTTCTTCACCTGCCTACTGGTGATATTTGCTGCTGAAGTAACCACTGGAGTATTTGCTTTTATAGGCAAGGATGTAGTAAGTAGAAATTACAATTTCTTTTTACGATGGTTAAAGGCTTTCTTTGCAGCAAAGGCTATGAGAATATTACACCCACAATGATATTGGAAAACTAACCCCCAAGATAATCGTTTACACATAACTTTTTAACCTAGAAGTATTATGCAGACCTGTGCATATTGTATGTATAAGTGTGCATACATTTACTTGCACACATTTTTCTGAGGAGATAGTTCATAGCTTTCATTAAATCTGTAAAAGAGTCTATGATTTCTTTTAAAGGATCTCTAGTTTAAGATGATCCCATTTGTAATGGGGAAGTGGGTAGATTGCACACATGAGAAGGAGGGATGGAGAGGAACATGCGTTTTCATCCCTTGTTAGACTATCATTTGTCCATAGGGCTTGGCCTGAAAAGAGGTCACGTCATCCTCAAAGACTAAAGCCCGACCTGCTGTGTGTTGGTGAAACCAGTTTATTTAAATTGGTGTTCAAACTACAGGTGTCCAAAATAGGTTATCAAGAGAACCCACAGAGGAAATGGCCTTTTCAGAAGGGACACACTGTGTTAAGACACTCTGTGGGAAAGCAGGGCATGAAAAGGAGGAAGAATGGAATCTTAAGTTTACTGTATTTCACGTAAATTCATGTGCTATCAGTATTGTGTTTATGAACTTTAGATTTCTTTTAAAAATGGTAAATATGTAGAATAAATAAATATCACCTCCTTTGGAATATTTCTAAAGTAACTGGTTCTATCTTTCGGTTGGAGGAATTGGATCTTAGGACCTTTTGAGATGCTATGGATGTCAGATCACCTGCCTTTATACCAGAAAAAGCATTCCCTAAGTTCATATTATATTTGTATGCTGAACCAGTTTTCCTTGGTCATGAATATTTTTCAAACCATGTCATGAATAGACATGAGTACTTTTAACCAGTAGGGTACCAAGAAGGCGTAAGTCACCACTCTGGCTATACATCAGAATCTCCTGGGTAGGCCCAGGAGTCTGGGGGCTGATGGATGCTGATGTCCATTCAGGTTTGAGAACCTCCGCTCTAAGAAATCTTTCTAGTCTATGAAAGTTATTCTTGGTTAGTCTATCCTTCCATCTCCAAAAGTATCCGAGAAACTCCAGAGTCTGTAATCTGTCCCATATTTGGAGAATTGTCTTTTTTTTTTTTTTTTTTTTAA